CAACAAAATCTTATTTTGACTTCTCAACCCCTTTAATACTTAAAATAGGAGGGGGAGGTTTAACTTTGCATTTAATTTCTTAACTCTAATTACCTCAATATCATATTTTCCTCTCTATTAGCACTAGTATCTTTGGCCCTATTCCAAATAACCAATTTTCTCATACAACAATTCCAGGGCCCAAAATACAACAGTTACGGCATGCAAATAACATAGTACAAGTATAGCAAAATGCAATCCCTAGTTGGTAAATATCATCATAAATTACACATTAATAATAAAATGAGGCTATATAGTAAGAATGTCAATCCCTATGCCTCAAAAGCTTTCTCTTTATCTACACATGAGTTAGAGCCTATAAAATATTAAGAAAGAGAGGTGAGTACAATCAATTAGTAATTAAGGTTTCTCTACCCTATACAATTAGATATTAATTGACATTTTTTAAAACAAAACATGTATAATGCATACAATCACAAATTTCATAAATCTCAAGTTATATTTGTATAAATTCATATTATCATAATATCCTTATTTTTTCACAAATTCATATCACAAGGCACATTGCCATAAACTAGCAACTATATGATAATGGCCTAATCAAATATCACAATGCACATTGTTATAATAATAACAACCATGTGATAATAGCACAATCAAATATCACAACTTGTCACAAACTTAACAATTATGTGACACGTCAGATAATGTGCATGATCGAACTAACTTTATATGCTCTTTATACCCATTGAAATCATGGGCTATAAATCAAATAGGGTTCTTTTCATGTGAATGGACTATTCAAGCTCACCAATTGTGAGGAGCAACTCGACTAAGTTACTACTCTTACTCTTGGACTATGACTTTCTCCATTTTTAAATCTCTGAGATGTCGTAAATCTTAAGCTAGTCTCCTCAGGGAACAAGAAAAGATAGCTAAGTTTGAGTTTCTCAACAAATAATGAGATGGTCTCTCGACAAACATTGAGACAATGGCTACCTCCCAATCTAATAGTTAGTAACTAGACTAGCTTTCGATTTTAATGATAAGCAGCCAATACCATATGAATTTTATCACTACTCCCCATTAGGCGAACTCTCACTAATATGATCATACAAATGACTCATACTCACATATTCACATGTTTACAATTCATAATAGCAAGCTCATTTATAGATATTCTTCAAGTTATAACATGTGAGCATAATGTGCAAATCCATGCCATTTTGTCAACATAATCAACATATATTTTCACATATCAACATTACTCCATACACATATACCATCACATATTCCCTCATTCTCATATCACAATCATCATTATCAATTAGTTGTTATAAATTTCTCATTATCATGATATAACATATGATTTTGTTCATGCTATCCTCGTATCATAATTTACAAAATCACCATAGCCTCAATTGTACTTTATAAAACATGTTACATAATGGAAATTAGGAATTTCAACTATCCATATTGAAAACATATCACATAGGAATTCAAATAATCAATTGACACACAACTACACAAAATATATTCCTCCAGTTACCTTAAACCTTTAAGTGGTCGAAGGTTTACCTCTCATAAATATTTTTAAAAATTGACCTCAAGCCATTCTGTGCAAGGGATGATTAATCAAGTCCATAATCATCAATGTTATCATTTACAATATCTTAATTTCCTATTTCAATATTTTAATATTCCAACGCCCTTGTGTCCAACATTTACGCTCAACCATTGGGCTCATTAACTCACTTGAGTTCCCACGAGCTTTATTAAATTCTCAAACCATCATAATGGCTCCCAATAAACTCCAACTTCTCTATTTATTTTAAAATTTTGGGCATTAATGCCTTCCTAGCTATCAAAACTTGTAAACTCATAAATCTTAAGTTTATATACCTTAAACAATTCTTATTCATTTTATTTAGGTCAATCGGTTTAGATCTATAGTCTCAAAGGTTTGAAAATCACTTCTACCATCAAGCTCTAACTTTCAAAATTGTTATAAGGAAGAGAAAGGAAAATTAGGGGTTGAGAAACTTACCTTAAATGATTGAAAGCTCCAAAATGCTCACAAAGCTTCAAATCTTCAATCTTTAGTAGAGCCCTTAGTGTTCTTCTTTGTTCTCTTGCTTAAACCTCTATTCTCTCTTTGTTTTTTAAACTAAAACTAGACCTTATTATTGTCAAATTTAGCCTGTACACCGTGGTGCATGTCACACGTGCCATGGCATATGGTATAGAGCTCCTCTTCACATTTATGCAACGTGCTATGGTATATGATATACATCCATTTCTCTTTATTTTTCTCCCATTTTGTGGTCTAAGTGTCCTAATCTACTCTAAACTCAATTCTAGGGCTGAAACCAAAACTCAAAACATTCATTAATTCTCTATAACCACATGCCACATTAATTAACTAAATCAACCTCATTTAACTTTGCTAATTTGAGGTTAATTTTCTAGGATGCTACAAACAATGCTCTTGAGGGCTTTGATTGTGGGCAATGGTATAGTGTTGGATGGTGAATCTGCTAGCTAATTTAAGGTTGATTTGCAGAGCAAAAATAGATTGGACTTGAAGGTGAACTTGGACATGAAGGTGAACTTGGACATGAAGGTGAAGCCAAAGATGGAAAGATTGATCACACCAAAGGTAGGACTTCAAGCTTCTTGTGAAGGAATCAGGGCTATTGTTTCGACCGCCAAGAAGAAGTTGACAATGGCAATGACTTCTAACACCAAGTACAAGGTTGACGTTAGGTTCAAGATTTGGAAATGGTACAGCAGATAAAGATTGCTACCAGAGGAAATTGTGAAGTTCTTTTTCCCCCTCTTATTTTTGTGCCCAATTTGACAAATTCTGTTTTCAATCCTCTTTGTGTGAATATTTAATAGTATATTATGCAAAAATTGAAGAATGAGAGTAGATAATCTTTTGTTTATGGTGTGAAAATAATTTGGCCTGATATAAATATTATTGTCTAAATTAATATATTATTTTTTATTTTTACTATTAATTTCGTAATTAAAATATTATAAGTCTATAATTTTTAAGTCATAAGGTATGGTAAATAAGATGATAAGAAACGATTCTTTAAATCATTTATTGAGTTGTGACCATAATTTATTGCATTTACTATAATTTATTAAGTTCATTTAAGGGAAGTTAAATATTTAAAGTGATATTCTACCAAAAAAATATATTTACTGTGGTAGCTCCCAAAGACTTATATAGTTATTTTTTATTGTGCGTTGATACTTTAAATTGCTTGACATATTTGTGTTAGTGTTGTATTTGATATCAATGTGCACCGATATTTTTTCAATATACATATAAAAGGTATGAACATGTTATTTTTAATTTTTCATATGTATTCTGTACTTCTAGATTATAAATCTATCTTTTGAAGTTGTTACTTCAAGATTTTTTAAGATTAAATTCTGATCAAGGTTGCAATAGTAATCTTTGAAAAAAATATAATTTTTTGTTTCTAAACTTTTCCTCAATTATCAATTCATCAATTTCTAAATGTTGACGTGTAATAATACAATACTTATAATTTTTTGATGATGAACAACTCAATTCTTATATTTTTTTTGTATTTGATATAATTCAATTATTATAATTTCTTAACATACTAAATCACAAGGATGAACTGAGCTATGTTAAGTTCAAGTTTAAAAATTAAATCAATAATTGAGAGAAATTCTAAGGTATAAAAGTTATTTACCTCTTAATCTTTTTATTCATAATATCTTTTTATCATTTTCCTTTAAATAAAAGATTTTTTTTTTTTTTTTGCCCAAAAAATATTTTTTTTATAAAATAAGTTTCTTATGTTCCCAAAAATTAAATATTTTATTTTTTGCTAATATATTTTACTATTAAATTAAAATACTTCATGGTTTTAGGTTGTAAATTGTTTGCAGATTTTTTTATTATATTTTGTTATCTTCTATATGACATGGAAAAACTAATATATTTAAAGCAAAAGGATTAATTTGTTTTAGAAAATAATCTTTTTAGAAATGATTAAAAAATAAATATTATGTTTGATTAAATAAAAAGGTAGGAACGAAGTTTCTTTGGCACAAAGAAAGACCCATACAAGAATAATTTTCAATTTTCTATCCAACTCTATACATTATAGGATTAAAGGGTAATAATTTTCAATTTTTCATCTTAACGGATGTTAAGCCATTAAAAGAGTTCATCATGCTCATGCAAAATTTTGTTAACTTAAGAATATTGAACATTTCTATTGAAAATAATTCTTGAACATTTTTGTTCTTTAACCCTATCTTGTATTTTTTAAAAATAAAAGTATCAATGTATCATAATTGTAATTTGTACATTATAGGTTATTTTAATTTGTTCAATTGGATTGGATTTGTATCATAATTAATTGGAGATGCAAATATACTAATCGATGCTAAAGCTCAATCTTCCTGTCACACACATATTATCATTTAATTTTGTGATAACATTTTTTTTTGGAGCCTGATTGTGATAACATTTAAAGAAACTTTAATTTTGATGCTTTCACAGTACAACTTGCACCACTATTTATTGATCGATAATCATAAACTGAATGATCATGGAAATTAATTAACTAGATCTAGCATCTCGTACGTGTTGCTTAGGGATCCATTTTAAACTCTAAAATTTGAATTTAATCAGAGAATGAAGAATCAATGAAAGTAAAAGGTTGATTTTGCCCAGAAACTAAAACAATGTTGTCCCCAAATAAACCCATATTTTAGGGGCTAGTGTTATATTAACCTGGATGTTGCATAACCTATATATTTTCTGAACCAAATTTGAAGAAGACCAATGCGTTAAAGCACAAATTTTAAAATGAAATTGAAGGAAAATTTCAAATAAATTGCAAAACTTTGTGTTCCTTAATTTAAAACTAACGATGATAAAACACACAATACACCTGCAACATTATTATTCCACTAATAATAATAATAATAATTCTTGAGGTAATTCAAAACCTGTCATCACGATGAATGTCAAGCATAGATGACGACGAAGACTTATGATCACTATACAATTCATCACCCACATAACCACTATGTTCATCCCCATTCTTAGTGCTGTTCTGCAACGACAAGGACGACAAAGACATTGAATCCTGGGCAATACAATAATTAACATCGTCTCGCAAATCACTAGGAACATTATTATTGTTATTACCATGATGTTCCTTATTCACTACCATCATATTCATCGGCCCTTGTTGTTGAATGTATTGATAATGAGAAACCGGTGATGGTACTGGCGCAATAATATTAATATTAGGGCTACACAATCTGGAAGGATCGGGAGAAGAATCGACAACCTCGTGATAATGAGAATGACGATGAGTTTGAGCACGAAACACAGCGAGCTGCTGAAGAACAAGTTCAAGTTCGGCCTCATGGTACTGAATTTGGGCTACTAGGTCTTGAATGTGCCTTAAACATCCTCCAACAGGGTCGGTGGCACGCATGTCAGACTGATAAATGATGGTTCTCATGGCTTCGTTGCGGCGGGGAGGGTCAAGGTTTTCGATGATTCTGGTGATGTTACGGACACCAAACAATTTATGAGCGTTGAGGAATTGACGTTGTCGATCGTGAGGGAAATAAGGTGCGAGAATACAGTCAGGAGCACACTTCTTACGTTGGTACTTACAAGCAGCACAGGCCTGATTATTGGTGATGATGGTGTTATTGTTGGTGTTGCGAACGTTCATGGCAGAGCGAAGAAGGTTTTAGGGTTTCAGAGAGAAAGAAGGAGAGAGCGTCTCCGGCGGGGAAGGCTGAGGATGAGGAAGAAGAAGATCAGAGATGGATCTCCTGAAATTTCTGGGCTTTGTTGAAGACAAACCTCTCAGAGAGATAATTGTGTGGGAATAATACAATTATAATGAGAGAGAGATTCAGAGGGACAGATTGATTGGCTGGTTATTGCTTTGTTTGTTTATATTATTATATGCTTTGTGTCATTATTACTTATAAATAGCATTTTTCTTTTCTCACACTTCTGAAAATGGGATAAATTTAGGCACACAATATTCTTTTATTAAGGGAAAGCACAATAATTAATTAATTAAAGACACATATATTTTAATTATGACCGTTAAAATAAAATAAAAAAAGTTTCTCAAATTCTATATAATCACAAGTTATCTTTTTTTGCTAACGTTTATAATCACAAATTATCGCTCAAGTTTGTAACTAATTCGATTTGATGTTTTCATTGTTTGAGATCATATATATTATAAAAAAATATTTTAAATTTGTTACCAGGTCTCTATAAGTAAAAAAAAAAAAAAACAACAACAACATAACAAGTAATATATAATATCCGGCTTCCCCATATTCCCCTCCAAGACTCCAATTGGGTCTAGTAGAAAAGGTTAAATGACTTATAATGTAATGAATCAATATTTAAATTTATTTGGAAGAGATATTTACATTTAATCAGTACTCTAATTTGCAATTTGATTGCTTTCACTAGACGGACACGTGTGCAAATTTTTTTTTTTTTTAACTATTCGTAGTTTTTTCTATAAGGCACTCTTGAGAAAACTTTAAAATTTGTTAACTATATTTAAAAATTTAAGAAAAAATTACAATGAAGTCCTAGAAAAAGGACTCAATGACAGCTAGGTTTCTAACAAAAATTTTTAAAAGAACAAGTTGCAGATATTGATTTAAAAAATTACGTTTATTTGCAATTGAAACCCTGAAATTTATTTGTTTTTATTTTTTTGAGCCTAGTTACCATTAATTCCATCTTTTAAGAAATAAGTATACACATTTTAATAATATATTTCCTTTCTCCAACATTTAATAGGAGTAAAAGAAAGACTTGTAATAAAATATTAATAACATGCTTTATAAACATGACTAAAATATCATTCTTTTTCCATCTTATAAATAGTAAACAGGACTAATGGGAGTATTTTTATGGTTGTTAACTCTCTCTCTCTGTTTTTTTTTTTCATTTTTTAATTGTATTTAATGATTTGTTATCCAAAACCCAATTTCTTAACAACTGGGTTTGTAGAAACTAGAAAGGGTGTGTTTGGATTTTAATTGAAAAAAATTGATTAAGGAAAAAATTGATTATTAGAATGTGATGGTGTTTGGATAAATTTTTAAAAATTGATTATGATATTGATTTTTTAAAATGGAACAAATTTTAGCTTATTCCAAATGGAGTTTTGGAAATCAAATGGAGTTTGGGAAAATTGGGGTGTTTGGATAAAAATTTTTAAAACCATGATTTTGAACCCAAAATTGATTCTAAATGAGTATCCAAACAGGCCCAAAGCTTGCTGGGTCATCTAACTGGTAATCAAACAAGCTGTATTAATTGAATAATTAAATAAATATTTTTTGGTAAAAATTAAATGACATAAATATTTTAATAACAATACTATATATATTCTTTTTTTTTTTCCTTCTCAATTCTCATTCGCGGTTTTTTTTTTTTTTTTGAGATGGACGTAAGACAGAATTCTAAAGCGCCTTTCTAATTATTTATAGAAATATTTGTCAAAGAACGGATACATAATATTTTAATATTTAATATAAGAAGAGAAGCAAATTAAACTCAATTTTTTTAAAGTCTTCTGTCTAATATAATTAATCACCTGAAATTGCAGTTTGAGTTCCTTGCGATCCGTTCAGTTTCCAACTAAACTATCAATTTGTTACGGGCTTTTATCAGTTTTTAATATTTCATTGAGTTTCAGATATTATCATCAATTAACGGCTTGTCAATTTTTAAATTGAATTTAATAAAGTTGACTTTCGTTTCCAAAAAAGAAAAATTAGTTGAATCAGCCATTTTTTTTTGAACCAAAGTATCAACCATGTTTAAAGTAAATAGAAAAGTAAACTTATTTAAACAAAAAACCAAGGATTGCATTTTTATTATCACATTAAACTTTATCAATGAGTTTCAGGCCCAAAAAAACAAAAGCAAAATAATGAGTTGCCGAATTTTATTCAGACAGAAAAGATTCTCCCACTTCTCAGCCTTTTTTATTGACAAAGGAAGTCTATTACATACTACCACAGAAATGGGCCGAGAAATCACATCATGAAGTATTCAAGTTTAGAAATATACATGCGTGTGTGTGACGAAGAAAGTCAATATATCAAATATCAAATATCAATCTAGGGCATATATTGGTTGTCCAAAAGAGCTGATTGAGTACTGTGTGGCAGGCAATGTAGATACAAGAGAATGAATTATGAATGGAATATAATTTGTTTCTTTTTTTTTTTTTGGGGGGGGGGTGGAGAATGAATGGGATAGAATGGTTATTAATTTTAATATATTTTTTTTATGTATAATATGTCACTACAATGCTAAACACATGTGGTTTTCTCTTTTATGGGATTTTCTTGATTAGCATAAAGCGTAGACTGTATTAATTAAATATTATATGCTAAAATTCAAATTCTATCTACTTGCTATGACATGATATTATTAATTTAAATTTTAATATTATGAATTTAAAAAAAATTTTCTTTTCACATCTTATTAACTAAAAATAAAATTGAAGGAGTGAAGGGATCTTATAATGTAATGAACTAAATTTCAAATCTCCAGTCTAATACATTAATGTACTGTATTTCTAATAAACCTTAATATTTCAATTCTTATTAAAAAAGTGCGCACATTTAATATAGTGTTTTGAATAAAAATACTTGTAATTATTGTTATCAAACTCTTGAGTTGACTCTATGAATTTATCATTTTTATATTTTTAATTTATAAAATTGTGTTAATTTACTTATAAATTCGAACTAGATAAAATTCAATTAAATTTATAAGATGACTCTATGAGTTTATTATTTTTACGTTTCTAACTTATAAAATCATATTAATTTATTTATAAATTCATAGAACAAGATAAATATAAATTATGTAGAATTTGATTTGTAGAAATAGTAGAATCTAGTTTAATAAAAAAAATAAAACTAAAAAAAACTAAATTAATAAAAGAAAAAAAACAAAAAATACCTACAATAAATTGTCCAATTTTAAAATTTCTATATTGAGTATGATAATTTTATAAATATAGATAGATTTAATTTTAATGATTTATATTTAAAATATATTTAAATTAAATTATAGTTATATTTATATTTTAATTATTTAATTATACACTTTGAAAGGTTTTTATTAACAAAAGCGATCCAAATCTAGATTTTGAGTTTATATTTTTATAATAAATTTACTTAAAGTTACGAATTTAACAACCAGCAACAATGTTGGACTGCTGGAAATACAGTTTTTGTTTTTGTTTTTGTTTTTTAAAAAAACATCGGATAATTCTAGGTGACGAAACGAAAAGAAAAGAGAAAACAGGAGGCACCTAAACCCTCCCTAAAGCCCTATTGATATAGTTGCACTTGCTGGTGGTGGCCATTCTTTCCGTTCCTTTGCTTCATTGCATTCATTTTTCGATCTGGCAATGCATCGAGTAGCTTCCAAACTAGCTTCCTCCTTCAGCTCCTCCTCTTCCAAAAGGCTTGTAAGAATCTCCCCTTCTTTCTCCAGTTTTATCTATTTCATTTGCGTCTCAATTTTTTCAACTCCTGGTCACTCTCCCTTCCAAAACTACAGATTGAGTCTTTCTTGTCTTCTCGTTCTTATCATTTGAGATTCTATTAAAATGGTTAGATTTTCGTTTCTGGGCGATCATAGAATGTATTTCTTCAATATTGTTTACTAAAACTAGCGCTCTTGTTTAGTTGGGCTGATGATTTCTGGATGGATCATGTGTTAGTCTGTTTTTTCCCTTAATTCTTAATTTTAATTGAGCAGGTGTATAATCGGATTTTATCCAACAGAAATTATGTGGCCAAAGATATCAACTTTGGAATTGGGGCTCGTGCCGCTATGCTCCAAGGGGTTTCTGAGGTTGCAGCGGCTGTAAAAGTAACAATGGGACCTAAGGTACTGTTTTTATCTTTATTTTTTATTTTTTCTATGGGTGCAACCAAATGTATTGTTTTTGGATCAATGGTTCTTCTCTGTTCAAGCTAGTTGTGGTGGTGACTGTTGTAGTAAACTCTGGTGGTCATTATGTATGTGTTACGAATCTGAAACCTTTTTGATAGCTAGGGGGTGTGCCCTTATTATTTGCGCCTCCGAATGAATAACTTTTCAATTTTTTATGCCAGTTAGAGGCTAAAAGCTAGTGCCAAAAGTTGTTAGTAGCCGTAGATGATAACATTTTAAAGAAGAATTCGAAATGATCAGGAGCGAATCTCATTTCATTTCATTTTGAATGATTGGTTTAGGGTCGCCATGTAATCATTGAGAAAAGTCATGGAAAACTCAAGATTACAAAGGATGGAGTGACCGTTGCCAAAAGTGTCAAATTTGAAGACAAGGCCAAAAATCTTGGTGCTGATCTTGTGAAGCAGGTGGCTAAGGCTACCAATACTGCTGCTGGCGATGGTGATTACTTTTCTTAGAAATTTTGTTCTTAAATAAATATACTATGATGTGAAATGGGAGATTGTTTTTATTCAATATTTACCTGCAGGCATAAATAATTGGCTTTACAATGCCTTAATGCTTTAGTGACTAAATAAATCAGTTAAACACTTTGGCAGCTCTTTGGTAGCCAGAAATTGAAATCACTGCTATTTCATCCGAATTACTGAACACTTATCCATGAAATAGTTTTAGTCCATGAAAATTACCTTTTTCATAACTTGC